ATAAAAATAAAAAACCAAAAACTTGGTTATTTGAATTTTTCACATAAATTTTGAGGTTATGTGAAAAAAGTGTAAATACAAAAGTTGTAGATATTTTTATTACCTACAACTTTGCCATTTAACTTTTTTCCATAAGACTTGTAGTTTTTCCGGAAATCAAGATAAACCGTTTTTTACCCTTAAAAACTCACCCCCTTCCCCTTCCCGACCTCAGATCGCCTGTAAATTATTTTTCCTTTCATTTCTATTATATTCTCTTCCTTTGCCAATGGGTTTCATCCTACTATATTTTTTTTTCACTTTTTACCATTTTTGAAGGCTTAAGCACTGGTCTAATAAGTTTATTATAAATGCACGGTTTCAATCATTCAATGTGCCAACATAAATTTCTAGTCACACCGAGATAGCATGTTTTTACTTAAAGATCTGAGTTAGCATGTTTTCCAAGCTTACAATTAATTTGAGATAGCATGTTTTCCAACTGAAATTTGAGATAACATGTTTTCGTGCTAAAGCGTCGAATTATACTACTATCTGGCATCAACGCAGATGGTTACTTTTTATATAACCACCGCAAAACTAAGCTTTTTCTTGTCTTATCTTCCATTCCCTGCATCGTAAAAAGGCGGAAATACACATACCAGTAAAATAGGTAAGTAACTTGCATGCTAAGAAATGGTATGTGCCGGCAGATGGCACACTGCTGATACATTTGCAAGTAAAATGGAATGCCTCGTTAGTATTATGGCTTATTGGCATATCAGTAGGTAGCAAGTAGACACGTTCCGACATGTCACTTCAACTCCCTCGAAACCCCCCACCTCACATTGCATGTCAAAAAATCAAATGATGTGCAATTTACTTGCGCGCCTTCTACAGGCATGCCTTTTAATAAAAACACATACCAGGAGCTATCTCCTGCAAGCTACTTGCATGCTATTGTGCAAGCAAGAGGCATGTGTATTTCCGCCTTATTAATTCTAACGTGGAAAGCATCTTAAAAAATATCTAGATCGCTTTATACTTTGTCGCTATTAAATCAAATGCAGATGTATTAATTTCGATCTTGAAGTGTCCTTGTTAATCCGATCCTACTTACGCCAGTCTAACGCAACTGCAATAACAAACACGTGTTGTATGTAAAGTGCATTCATAGATTTAAGACAATGACAATTTATTGTTGGTCATAAACAAGCAGGGTCGTATTTCAAATTATACGTATCACAATTAAAAATCTAGGTTTGTTTTAACAGTTTAAATTTTTAATTAAAAGGTAGCACACATGTCCACCCGAAAGACGGTTTACATACAAGTAAGAAACTACTAGTGTCTAGTGCATTGTGCCTTACTTCACCATAAATTAAAGCAATATCAATTAATTCTCCATTGCTATGCAGAGAGGCCATTTAGGACATTTGTAAGACTGATGTAAACAGTAAGATACGATGATAAGAGCACTACGAAAATCACAATAATACCGAATAAATAAAAATAGGCATTTGTCAAATCAAATCAGCTGAAGGTACCTGAAGTTCAACTCTTTTTAAATAACTAACAAATATTTCCTATCTTTTTTGATAAATTGTGAATCCCCCTGTATATTACTCTGATACATATACTCCTGGCACAGAAAATTAAACAATCAGAATTATATCCTGACGTGGTTGGGGTATTCGCGCAGATCTGTGCATGCACCCCCCACTTTTGGTATGCGAACAAAGTGGTGCAGTTCAATATCTCCCTTATTATAAAGATTCGAAAAGAAATATTTTATGGGACTGATGTACTTAAAAAAGTTCACAATTTAAAAATATTTTGAATTGTACAGGGTGATGCATTACGGCGGAGCATCTTTAAGGTGGTTTTTCTTAAATGGAACACTGTATATTTTTACAAATTTGTATTCTACAAAAAATTCTCTTCCCAGCGATGTCTTTGGTTTTTGTATTCGATGATGCCATGTTATTATTTGAAAAAATAAGATAATTTTCACTGGGACAAGGTTCTGTAAATCTATCTACTGCAATTCTAAATTTCTGTTAATAAATATTGAAACCTATGTAATTATTCAGTAGTGTTAACATTAAATAATTTCATTATTAGACTGGTTTAACCTAAAAATAAAATAAATCTAAAATTCGCCTTTAAAACATTTTTTCATATAAATAACCATGTCTTCTACATGTCATTGATTAACCTCATTTTCAACATTAAATAATTTCATTATTTGACGTTTAATTTAAAAATAAAATAAATCTAAAATTCGCCTATAAAAACTTTTTCATGTAAATAACCACGTCTTTTGCATTTCACTATTATTTTCTGCTGCACATAAATTCCTGCCTTTTTTGTTAGTAACGAGCGTTCAAATAAAAACGTGGTCAAGTTGGTTCTGAAAATTTGGACGTAGGGCGTAGCGTATAGCAAATGAACTTAAACGTCATCTGTCAAAGCGCTATATCGCCGCTATCAATTTGAATATTTTCGTTTTAAAAAGCGTTTAAAATGGTGTTTTCTCAAGAACAAAAAGTGTTTATCATAGAGTCCTACTTTAGAAATGGACGCAAGATTGATGGAATATGGAAGTATTCTATTGAGGAATGTTTCATAGAATTTCAAAATCAATTTCCCGGCGTTGTTGAGTACAAAATTTTTCAAAGTGCAGTTCAGCGTTGTGTTAATGTTTTTCGTGAAACGGGCAGTGTAACAAGAAAAGAAGGAAGCGGCCGACCTAAAAAGCGGACTGAAGAATTAAAAGAAAATGTCCAACAAATAATGGAAAATGCGCCAAGAACTTCTGTACGTGTTTTATCACAAATGGTGGGAGTATCAGTCGGTACCTGCCACACAGTGTTAAAAAAAGATTTGCGTTTGTTCTCCTATCGTTTAACTTGTCAGCAAGAACTTCATGAAGTTGATTTTCCGCGACGGGCTGTATTTTGTGAATGGTTTTTAAACAACTACGGTGAACTTCATAATATCACCTTTTTTTCTGATGAAGCCTGGTTTCATTTAAGTGGTTACGTAAACTCACAGAATATGAGAATGTGGTCTTCTGAAAAACCAGATAACTTTTTTGTCGAGGGCCCTCTACACGCTCAAAAAATTGGAGTTTGGTGTGCTCTCAATCGAAGGAGGATTTATGGACCTATTTTTTTTAATGGTACTCTTACTGCGCAAAGGTATAGAGAAGAAATTATCGCTCCTTTTGTTAACCAGCTGGAAGAAAACGAAATTACAAACTTTTACTTTCAACAAGATGGCGCAAGGGCACATACGGCAGGCGAGACGATGAATATGTTGAGGGAAGTTTTCCAAAATCGACTAATAAGTCTCAATGCTGAACATGAATTTCCACCGAGGTCATGTGATATTACGCCGTGTGATTTCTTTTTGTGGCCTTACCTTAAAAACACTATTTTTGAACTGCCTATTCCTGATTTAAACCATCTGCAGGCTCGACTTATAGACAAGATTCGTGAAATTAACAATACCCCGAGCATCTTAGAAAATGTCTTTAATTCTTTGAGGAACAGGTGTGAAAAGTGCTTGGAACAAGGAGGGGGACACTTTCAGCAGCTGCTTTAATTTATTGTTATAACAAGGAGGGGGACACTTTCCGCAGCTCCTTTAATTGTTTGTTATTGTTATCACGATTATTCTTTAAAATAAAGTTATATAGTCATTAACGTTATTGAAACTGACAGCTGCTATACAGCTCGTTGAGAAATGAGGTTAAGTTGGTGGCTATAAGCTACTCCCTACGTCCAATGTGTCAGAGCCAACTTCGACCACGTTTTTATTTGAACGCTCGTTACATCCCTGTTTAGTGCAATAAAATTTAACTGAATACAATCCTGACTTTGTATACCAAAAGTGGGGGATTTACGTCATTCAAGGTCACTGACAAAAGGCATCAGTGATCAAAGGTGCCGACAACGTGATATAATTCTGGTTGTTTAATCTTCTGTGCTCCTGGATTGCCGTTTTCGCATCTTTTGGACAAGGGTGTTTATTTATCTGTCTACCGAGACAATGACACTGTTTCGAAGAATATTGAAAATTGACTTATTCATGAAGCAATCTTCGAATAACTGCATTTTCTTTGTTTTCCTTTCGGTAATGGGCTATTTTCTATACAGTGTTCATTGGAATTTTTCTAAATATGACCTTTTTTCCACTTTCCATTTACGAAATTTCTTATGCTCAATGAAAGTTGAAGTTGCATTTAGGCACTTTATAATATCTTTTTAATCCAAAGACGAGTGTTAAGGTTATTCCAAGTACTCTACCTGGGTAATGTATAATCCCTTGACAATTAAATTTTGTGATGGGTGGTATCTGAACTCAGGTCGACGCCGATAGTAATTCTCTTAAATCTATGAATGTAATTTACTACAACTTTTTAAATATTCGTATTTCAAATTAAAGCAATGTCAAAACTGTAGCGTGTAACTAAAATTAATACTATCGAATTTAATATTAAGTTATGAAAACCTGCAAAATTGGCCAGTAAATTATCATAATTCTTCTACAAAACATATTTGGGAAAATATTCATGAAAACTGTTTCATTTTTGAGGTTTTTTTCTAGCAACTATTGACTTTTATTTTCAGAAAGTTCGGATGCTTCTAGAAGAGAATCGATGGCCAGCAGGTCCATGTCGGACTGGAACTGGTCAGACACCAGAAGCGACGACAAAATATCACCCAGTACGTGTAGCATTAACAGCAGTATATTCAAGGTAGAACATACGGCAAACAAATAATAATTCCTTCAAATAAATCATTTTTTTTTAGAGTTCGTCTGAAGAACACAAACCCGTGGACAACCCCATGGGGATAATAGAGCTCTCACTAAATTACGACCAATTAACCAACACCCTACACTGTACCGTCTACAGGGCAAAAAATCTGATCCCCATGGACATTAGCGGTCTGTCTGACCCTTTCTGCAAGTTAAATATATTACCGACAGCCAAAGTGTCTACTCGCCTCAGGACGAAAACGGTGCACAAGACCAGGAATCCAGAGTTCAACGAGAACCTGACATTTTACGACATCACCGAGAGCGATCTGATGAAGAAGTCCCTGCACATACTGATGGTGGACGACGACAAGTACGGGCACGACTACATGGGTGAAACCAGGATAGCCCTAGCTAAGCTGAAAGTGCAGAACACGATGTATGTAAGTACCGTAATTGATTGTTGAAAAATGTTTATACGTGAGACAAAAATAAGTCAATGGTTATGGTTCTTTTTTAATCATTTACGCTGTACAGGGTGTCCCAGAAGATAGTGGTTATACATCAATTCGCAGATTCCTGAGGTAAAAACAATTTAATTTATTTCAACTTATCTTAGTCCAGAGTATTTTTATGTGAAAAAAAACCGCGGACACAAATTTCAGAAAAGTTCAAATAATTAAAACTTTTTCTTAATTAGTGGATTATATGGATCCAAATCATGGAGGTGGAAAATTTCATTGCCCATATTATTAAAAGTTGAACGTTGTTTTACCAATGGATTTTTTACGTTCAAATGTTGCATTAAGTCATCATTTATTAGTTTATAACCGGACAGCGCACAAAATGACATATTTTCCAATTTATCATCAAATGTAATGGATAAACGCGCGAGAAAAAGTCATTTTGGGTACGTTCATTAAAACTTTAAAAATAATACTAGACGTAGTCGAAAAGTAGTTTAATTCCATTAATTTAGTTAAAATTAATAAGAGTTGTTATATTAATGAGAAAAATGACCTAATGTATTTAAATGTAATATTTGTGGTGCATTTTTGTTGCTCATTTCACTAACACATGAATTTCGTATGGGAAATTTAATTTATTGTTATGATTCCAAGTTTTAAATTACTTATTTCATTATATTGGTATTTGGCTTTAGTGGCACATTCAATCAATATTAAATTAATATATAAAAAATTTAATGTTTTGTCATTAACTATATATTTATTAGCGTTCCCGGAAATGATTGAGATGTTACGGAAATGACTATGGTCTTCCCGAAATGATGGCAGTGTTAATTGTGTATTTTTATATTAAAATGATACACCTATTTACTAATCAAATTAGACTTTATTTCTTGCAAAATAACAATTAATAAGGTTTTCTACTGTAATTATCTATAAGGATCTATATCAATGTATTAGCACACCAGACAAAAGCCAACCATGCATTTATACGATGTGACATCACAGCTGTACTGTTTTATTAATTCTGGAGTAGTCTTAGCAGCTAGTTGTTTCAAAATGTTGAGTTTAGTAATCATAAACCCAAAATTTTCGTGCCTGACGCAAAGGCATGTTTCACGATCTCTCCAAGTAGGGGCAACTACCCAGAATGGTTTATGTCTCAAGAATGTTAGATACGATATTTTGATTTCGGTTTGTTCAACAAATTTAGGATGCAACTCAATTACATTATCTAAAAGTATACGCTTTTGTTTCTTTACTTTACCTTTGATAACGTAGTCTTTCTTTCCCGGGCACATTCGACTGATCTCATCACTTTCATAAAAATCTGTGATTTTTTGTTGAACTCTAAGAGAGACGACAATGATTGGTGTTCTACGATCGGACTTCAAGATGTCTGGTATTGTTGTTCTTTGGTAAAAACTTTTTTGCCATATGTTGCAAACGATACTTTTCAAGAACATCACCACTCACGCATTTCTGAAACGCTTCACGTTCCTTGGAATTTGTTGGTAAATTTTGAGCTGTTTGCTGTAATTGGGTTGAAATTACCTCGCTAAACAGGATTTTTTTTCGTATTTCACATAGTTTTTACTAACTCAGTGACTTTTGCGTTTGATGTCATATCCATATCATTATTGGTGGTTACAGTTGAAGTTCTTCTGAAGTAGAGATTTATTACTCCTTTCTAATTTCTTTCTCAATCTGTCCACTTTATGCTGCAATCTCGTTATTTGAATATTTTTTCTCTCTATAGTTCTATATGCTTTAGCTCTATCTTTTCTTACTATCTTTCTACCAGCTTTTTTGTGTGATACTGAACGGGGAGTAGGGATACTTACATTTTCTGAATCTGGAGGGATATTATTGAGTGTGTTTACCAACGACTTTTTATTTTGTCTATATTTTTTTTGAATTCCTTCTCCACAGTTTTCTTTGCTTCCGTTTCTCTCTTTCTGTCATGTCAGTTATAGATTTTGTTTTATTTTCAGCTTTTTTTTCTGGTAATATTCTCTGTTTTTTGTTCTCTTTATTTCCCTTTGTTCTATGGTCATAAAAACTTCCGATTCCTTGCTTTAGCTTTCTCCTTTTGTCTAATATACGCAACACTATTTTCTTTAACTTTTTTTTAAGTTTTCTTTTAGCAATTAGCTTTATCATTAGACTCCATTTTCCGATTCAGTTCGTTCTGGAAAAATAAAATAAAAATTATTTGGGTAGAATTCTGACTTGATAAAAAATAGACTAACAGTCATTTCGAGAACACATACATCATTTCGGGAATGCCCAATGCCCGTCATAGTCCGAGAACGTTCCCGAAATGATATTTCCGCCATTATCGTCTTTGATTTTTTTTGTCACAATGTCAAACGAAATATTTTTGAGGTTATGTTGTAGTCGCCTCGATTGTTTATCATAACATTATCATATTAATTTTAACCTAACACATTCTACAACAGCGTTCTCGTAATAATGCTGAATTGATGTACGCAAATCATATATCAAATAGAAACTTACTTACCACTTTAATTTAATTATTAATTCAGACTAACAATTAAAAGCCGTCAACCCGTTCACAAACACTTCGTAAACACCGCTAGCAGCGCAATCTGGCACGTTCCGTGAAAAACATTTTGATATTTTATGGTTGCGATTATGAAATGACAACTTTTACCCCGGACAACTTTTTAATTAAATAGAAATAACGATTTTTTCCAATTTGTTGTAAAGCATATAAGAACCCTTCAAGCAAACTATGTCTAAGTAGTGTTAAGAATATAGTTACTTAAATTCAATTGATTTTAATGTGTTTTTTAGCCACTTGAATTTCCTTAATGAATTATGGAAGCGTTCCCGAAATGATTTTTTCGGGTATGTTAGTTGGAATAAAATTAAACTAAGAACATATTGAATTAAAGTTGTTAGTTAGTTTATTGCCAAAGGGTTTGCCTCCTTGTAACGGTTGGTATCCCGACAGAGCCGTGCCCTGCGCGGTGTCGATAAGCGATCGACGGAGAGATGATAACGTTCATAGCATGTGTATGTATATTGTTTCATCTTTGTAAATTCCAAAATAAAATCGTAAAGTGAAAGTATTTGAGCAAATTATTGTTTCAACAAAAGTGATTCCATGTGGAGTTGACTATCAATTATAATATTCGATAAATGAGAAGAAAACTTTAATTTATTGTAGCTTTAATTAAGAAAATTCTCTCCAACTCAAATTCGTCACCTCCATGATTTTGACCCATATGCCAAACCGTTTTGTAAACGTGAAAAAAAATTCTAGTAGTTACTCAAACAGAGTATAACTATATTCGGTGGTATTACATCATTGTACAGGGTGTCCCACTAAGATCGGCGAGGTACGATATTAGAGAAAGTATAGGCCCTAGAGCAGCGGTCGGCAACTGGCGGACCCTGGTCCATTCATCACGATTAGATCTTTTACAGAAAAAAGAACAAGATATAGCCGAAAAAAATAAGATTAAAATATGATTGGGTACTCACGTTATAAAGTAAACAAAAATATCACAAACTGAATCTCGCAATTCTGACTTTGGAAGTCGTAATCAGCGACCCTGAAAACCCCCGTATATCAAATTTGGCGCGAATCTGTAATTTTTTGGAAAATTTGTTCGGCCATCTTGGATCCGCCATCTTAAATTTTGCTAAATTGACCTCGGATCCGTGATGAGCGACCCCGAAAACCCCCATATACCAAAGCCGCGAATCTGTTATTTTTTGAAAATTCGTGATATCTGATATTAATTGACCCGTTTTTTTTTAGGTTAGAAAAAAATAACTTTCAATTCTGACCGCGGATTCAGGTTAGGCGGGGTATTAACCATACAAATGAACATTTGAATATAGAAAAAAAAAAATTTTGTATTTTTCCTTGCACTTCTTCGTGAATGTTTGCTATTTTTGACCAGTTTTTTGAGGTTAGGAAATTCCTGTGATGTGATAGCTCAATTCTGACAATGGATTCGTGATCAGGAGGCAAAAATACTTCGGATAACATATTTCGCATGAAAAGTACAAACAACTTTTTTTGTGTGTGACTGTATTATTTTTCATTGTAGTTTCGCTCTGTGCACTCTATTAGTTTTATGCAGTTAGTTTTAAAAAACATGAATTTCTGATTATTATGTGCTAATGTCCCTAAAAAAAACTACCCACTGTACTGTTCAGAAAATAAACGAACTTTATTTTTTTAAGCTTTATTATTAATTCTAAACATTACTGGTTTTTCTTTCCTTCAAAGTACTCTCCTCCCTCGTTCATACACTTTTCCCAGCGGTGTTTCCATTTCGCGAATTTTTAGATGGCTTCATTTGAAATGGCCTTTAAAGTTTGTGACGAATTTGTTTTGATGGCAATAGTCTGAAAACGGCGTCCTTTCAGCGCTGATTTTAATTTCAAAAATAAGAAAAAATCGCAAGGAGCCAGGCCTGGCTAGTAAGGAGGATGTGGGAGGACCGTAATCTCATTTTTGTGAGCATATCTTTGACATTGGATCGAGTCTGACTTGCTTTTGTTGTTTGGTCATCAAACGAGGAACACATTTTGCTGCAACTCGATGCATGTTTAATTTTTCTTGCAAAATTTCATGCCGTGACCCAATTGAGATGTTAACCTCTTCTGCAATTTCTCTGACAGTCAATCGGCGATTTACACGCACCAGATCTTTGACTTTCTGAACGTGGGAGTCGTCAGTTGAAGTCAAAGGCCTTTCTCGTCAAGGATCATCAATTATTGTCTGGCGACCAATTTTAAGTCGTGAAAACCTTTCGTAACATTGCATAACATATCCGCAAGCATGTTTCAAAAGTTGAAACGTTTCCTTCGAAGGTTTTCCCCAATTTCACTCAAAATTTTACGTTGCGTCGTTGTTCCAGAAAATCGCACGTTTCAAAACTCGTCACTAACACTTAAACATATTACACTCAAATAATTTAAGAACATATGGC